CTCCCTCCCGCTCTCCCTCCCGCTCTCCCTCCCGCTCTCCCTCCCGCTCTCCCTCCCGCTCTCCCTCCCGCTCTCCCTCCTGCTCTTGCTCCCTCGTCCCTTCCCGTCCTTCACGTGGGTGTAGGTTCAGCGGCATCACCGAGGAGATTCTGGCCCCGGTGACCGCCCGTCTGGCGGATGCCCGGGCGGCCCTGCTGAAGGTCATGAGCCCGACCACGGTGCTGGTGGGCCACTCGCTGGAGAATGACTTGTCGGCCCTGCGGCTGTTACACTCGCGAGTGATCGACACGTCGGTGGTCTACCACCACACCCGAGGGCCGCCCTTCAAGGCAGCCCTCCGGTGGCTGGCCGAGCGCCATCTGAAGATGACCATCCAGACGGGCACCCGGTCGCCGGATCTGCCGGCCCCAACGGCCATCCCCGGCGGCCTGGCGGCCGACGGGCACGACTCGGTCGAGGATGCCTGCGCCACCATGAAGCTGGTCCTGCTGAAGGCCCAGCGGGGCTTCCAGTATGGCCTGGCCAAGGAGGAGACCGAGTCCCTCTTCCGGCGTTTGGCTCGGGTCCGCTGCACGCAGGGTGTCCCGCTGCATCTGCAGGCCGCGTCGCCCGGCGGTGGCCGTGCTCCAGGCCGGCAGTCTTCCGTGATCGACACGCCAAACTCCATGCCCTCGCACGCCATCGACGGGGTGACCAGCCCGGTCCCGGCCTCCGGGGATGATGCCGTGGCCGCGGCCGCCGGGCGCCAGGCCGCCGATCACGACTTCCTCTTTCTGCGCTTCAGCGAGCTCGAGCGCCTGCAGAGTACGTCGCACTGGGAGGGGGCCGGGGGCTTCTGCTCGCCTCCCGGCGCTTTGGTCTCTTGCCTGTGCTTTACTCCTCTCCCTGCCTTTCATCCATTTTCACGCGTGCTCACCCGCTCCCTCCCCCCCCCCCCCCCCTCCCCCCTCCCCTCACACACGCACGCACGCTAGACTCGCGCATCCAGCGCACCGGCGACGAGACCGACGCCGCGCAGTCCGATGCCGGGCTCGGGCCGACTGAGGCCGACCTGGCCGAGGACCGGGCCGTCATCGCCCGGCTCAACCGGAACATTGCTCGGGTCTGGAATGACCTGCCCCCGGGGACGCTCTTCCTCTTCCTCACCGGGCAGGGGGACATGACGCAGGTGAAGCGCCTGCTGAACCGCATCAATGGCCGGAAGCGCCTGCAGCAGGCCATGCGCAATACGCCCCTCACGCCGGCCGCCTTCGATGCCATGACTCGCGATGATCTGGAGCTCCAGACGCTGATCGACGCCGCGCGCGTCGGGTGGTGCGGCCTGGCAGTGCGCGACATCGGCGAGTGCACCCTCCTGGGGATAGACGGCACCGGGGCCGCCGGGGCCGCCAAGACCCCGGCGGCCGCCGGCGATGTCTCCGCTGGCACCGAGCCTGCCGCGCCAGCCACCGAGTGAGCCCCTTCCCCCTCCAATGCCCCGCGACAGCCGCGGCTTTGCGTCGCCCAATCCCTCCTTGTGTTTGACTCCCCCCCCCCTCCACTCCATCTCTCTCTCTCTCTCCCTCTCTGTCTCTGTCTTTGCCTCTGTGCGTGCTCCTCCCATTGTTCTGGGCGGGGCTCCCTCGTGCCCTGTGGCCGCGTTTCGCGGTGCTTCGACAGCCGGCCCCTACGCCCCGGAGGCCATGTCCCCCCTCGGAGAGCATAGACTATACTGCCTGTGGATTGTGCGTGTGTATGTGTGTGTGTGTGTGTGTGGCCTGGGAAAGGTCGTGTGCATGGGGCACATCCAGCCGGCTGCCTCCAGTCTAGGGGGGTATATTGTGAAGGTGGGAGAAAGGGGGGGGGGGGGGGGGAGGGGAGAAATGGTCGCCATCTATCAGGGGTCCGGTAGCACTGCTCGGCAGACGGGACAGACAAGCTTGATGTCCAGCCACTGGCCCGGTGCGCATGAAGAGGGGAGGGGGACAAAAGGCGAGACAATGTGCCGGGTCAGTTGAGGGCATCCGCGGTACTTCAGTCGAAGAGGGAGACATGGCGCACCTGCTCCAGACACGCCTGGTGGAAGATATGGTTGCAAGGGGTGAGCATGTGCGGCTCTTTGCGCAAGTCCATCGACTCCAAGCAGATGCCGCACTCGACTTGCGCCCCGCCGCCTGGGCCGGCTGCCTCCTCGTCCATGGGCGGTTGCAAATACTCGTATGTCTTGATGGTGTTCTGTACGAACGTGTGTGTGTGTGTGTGTGTGTGTGTGTGTGTGTGAACGTGCGTGTGTGTGAACGTTTGTGTGAACGTGTCAATGCCTGCCAGAATGTTGGCCCCGGGTGCAAGAGGAGGCAAAAGGCTGACACGGACCCGTTGCAGCACGGCCGGCCAGAAGAAGCGCGGCCCGACGTAATGCTGAACCAGGATGACAGCGATCTGGAAAACCACGAAGCACGCCAACACCCCCGAGGGCCCACGGCCGAGTGGACGGCAAATTGAAGGGCGTGCGCGAGGAGGGGACCAGCCACATGTACAGAGGCAGGACCATGCGCGACAGCGGGACCAGAATCATGTATGCGCTGAATGGATGCGACAGGTCAGTAAGAGCGTAGACGGGGAGAGGAGGCGCCCGTGGGGCGAGGGGGCGGCGCGCCGGACCGCCCGGGGAGAACGCACGGCGTCAGCGGCCTGCGCAAGCCGCGCGTGAAGTTCATGAATATCTGAGGGAAGAGGAAGGAATGGAAGACAAGAGCGTAGATCAGACCGAAGACCTCGGCCGAGCTGTAGTAGAAGAAGAGACTGAAGGCCGCAAACATGTCTGTGCCGGCCCGAGGGGACATGTCAGCGATGAGGGGGTGCTGGAGTGGGTGGCCAGGTCAAGCATATGGACAAAGAAGAGGGAGCGCGAAAGGGAGGGGGGGGGAGCGAGAGAAGGAGAGAGAGAGATAGATAGAGAGAGAGAGAAAGAGGGAGACAGGCCCACGTACAGAAGTTTGTGAACATGTAGTTCCAGGACTCGCGTCGAACTTGGGGATCGTTGAGGCCAGGCGCCCCCGGGTGCTGCAGCATGCCCGCAGTCCAGGTCATCTGCATGAATAGCACGCCGAAGAAAAGGAACTGGCACAGCTTGACGAAGGTGACAAGCGCGAAAAGGAGCATGCTCGAGTCTGGATCGCCGGGTCAGGGGCAAGGGCGGGCAGGGGAGGAGGTCGCGAGGCGGGCATATGGAGGAGGGATGCCCCGACATGGGGGGGGGGGGGGGGGGGGCACGCCCGCGCACGCCCACACGCACCAACCGACGGATATGCCGAGATATGGCGGAAGCAGATGGAGATGTCCAGCGCCGCCTGCAGCCAAATCATGAAGGGAGACACGCGCGACAGCCGCTGGAGGAGGCCACGATAAGGCCGAGAGACGAGGGCATGAAGAGGGGGCGGTCAGTGCGGGAGTTCGCTCAAGAAAACGGCGCCAAGAGCCCCCCATCCCCCCCCCGGGGCCCCGAGGGAAAGGGCCTCATCCACAGCCAGCAACGCACGGCCTGGGTCTGTAGGGCCTCCATCTGCCGAGCGGTGACGAAGTATTCCACCAGCGAGCAAACCAACAACACCAGGGCATATGTGCGCGCGTGCTGGTGGAAGACCGGCTGTCGGCGGCCATGTGAGGATGACACGGCCAGCGCCGGGGCCGGCAGACTAACCAGCGCCCGGTCCGGCGAGAGGACTATCATCCGGGCATTGAGCATGCCCGCGGTCACGTCATTCGGCAGGCTGGCCGATCGGCCGGTCGGATTGGCCAGGGCCCGCTCGTAGGCCGCCACGTCGGCTGGCGTCACCCCGGCCGGCAGGGAGACCGGCTGGAAGAGCAGCAGCACAAAGTACGAGGGGTTCTGCTGCCACTCGCCGCGGTCGGCGAACTCGAAGTTCCGGAGCTCTAATTGGCCGACGTGATGTTGGTAGAGTCAGAAGTGGGATCCAAGGACCCGAAGGCGGGGAGGGGCGGGGAGGGGCGGGGAGGGGCGGGGGGGGGGGGGGGGGGGGGGGGGGGGGGGGGGGGGGGGGGGGGGGGGGGGGGGGGGAAGATGGAAAGGGGCGCGGAGGAGGCGAAGGAGCGAGGCTGACGGGACACGCGCGGCGCGCCACGTACCACGGGTCACATCCCAGGATGGATCAAATTCATGCTTGGGCTGCAGCGTCGAGTTGAAGGTGCTCAGGATGTCGGCCGCGAGGCCGGCACTCGGGGCCAGCAAGTGGAGCAAGTCGGCGGCCGAGTGGTCCGACAGCACGGGGCTCGAGAAGCTGGACCCCAGCAAGGCCACCCCGAGCTTCGGCCAGTGGACCCCGAACATGGGGACCGTCGGAGTGGCCACCCGCAAGCGCACGGTGTCCTGCATGCGGAGGGTACCCTGGTATGGGATGAGCAGGCGGGTGCATGTGTGTGTGTGTGTGTGTGTGTGTTTGTGTGACCGAGAGTCTCAGAGTGTGAGCTTGATGGAGCCCCGAGAAGAAAGGGAGAGGCGAGGGAGAAGGAGGCGAGCCACCCGGGCACGCACCTTGACGAAGGCCCGGTCACTGGTCCGGTCGCTGGCCCAGTCATCCGGGTGCCGCGTCTCCAGCGACAGGACCATGGTCCCATTGCGGAAGGCCCAGGTGCTTGGATGAGAGCCGCGCAAGCGCGGAGGGCCGGCCCCGGCCCCGGCCCCGGCCCCGGCCCCGGGGCTCGGCGGGACGGCGCCCGTCTCGCCCGGTCCCGCCGACGGACTCGGCACCGGGGCCGGCTCCTCGCCCGGACCCCGGCCAGGCACCAAAGGCTGGGTCAAGTTCAGCGGAGCCATCCACCCCCCGGTGAAGGGCCACCCGGCCAGGATATCCGGGTTGGTGGCATTGATCGGATGATCGCTGGGCTTGGAGGTGAACAGGACCGACCGATCGACCAGGCTCGCCGGCGCGTGCCAGTCCGCCTGGATGATGGCCGTGATGTTTGGCGGGAAGATGGTCCCCGCCCCGGCGACCGTGGCCCCGGGAGCAGGCCCCGGCTGTGGCGGAACCCCCTCGGCCGGGGCCAGCCGCGCGGCCGCCAGGCCCGAGGTGGCGTCCGTGGATGCCGGATCGCCCGCCGGCCTGCCGGGCCACTGGGGAACATGCTCATGCAGGAGATCCTGTACGAAATCCCGCAACCCCGCCGGGAAGAGACGCTCGCGCGTGGCATACTCCAGCGCCGGCATGCTGTTGGCCGGCTGCCGGCTGCGCGCCGGCGGGGCCGACCGGAACCGCACATACCGGCCAAATTGATCCGGTCGGCGGAGGACATCGGCTGGCTGGAACCCCGGCGCATAGCGCTGGCGATACTTCACCAGGAAGGAGAACGGATCAAACGCCGGCTCCGGCAGGCTTTCCGGGGCGTCGCCATTGGCCATGGCGCTCACGGCCAGGGCAGCGCCACTGGAAGCCGGCGACTCGGAGCCAGGGCTCCCCCGGGCCGGAGCCGGCGGCTGGGGCGACACATCGACCGAAGCCCACCCGGGGGCCAACAACGACACCAGCAGCAGCAGGACCCCGAGCAGCGGGAGGAAATGGGCCCCAGACGGCCGGCGATTGGGACGCCGCCGCCGGCGGCCCAGTCGCCCGGGCACCACCGACATCATTCCCGCGAGAGGCGGCCCCACGCCGGGGGGGCGGGTCGGCATCGGCGGCGAGCAAGGGGGGAAGGGGAAATGCAAATGGACAATCGGGGGAGGGAGTAGGGGCCGAGGAGAAGTAGAAAGGACCGAGGCGGGACAGGAGGAAGAGAGGGGGAACCAAGAGAGAAAGAGGGGGAGAGAGAGAGAGAGGGAGAGAAAAAAGATGGCGCCGCGGGGGGGGGGGGAGATGGAATGCCCCGGGTGTGGCGGTACCACGCACTGGCCCCTTCTGAGAGCCAGGGAGGGAGGGCGAGGGGCGGCCGCGATCCCAGAACCCCGGAAACCGCGGGACACCACCCTTCCACAGACAACATCCCCCACCCCTGGGCCGCCGGCTCAGGTACGCTGATCGACGCCACTGGCGCTTAACAAGCCCATTGTCTCCCCCCCCCCCCCCCCTCTGCCGAGGTCGGTGGACGATCGACGGCGCCTTTCCCTGTGTTTCCCGCGCTGTGGTGACGCCGCTCTGAGCCCAGGGCTGGGGCGCCTAAACACATGTATGTATTGTGCTGCGGGAGCGGGGGAGGGGGGATAATAACACACACACACATGTGTGTGTGTGTCTATGGCGCGCAGCCTGCAAGGACAGGGGGGCAGAGAGCCGGGGGTGGAAATGCGCGAAGAAGGGCGGCGGACGGGCAGGGGGACCACGGGCCAGGCCCCGGGGAGCGGGGGGCGGCGAGTCAGCGGCCGCACGCCATAAAACGCGGCCCGCGCCTCTGTCTCTCGCTCTCTCTCGCTCTCTTTCTCTCTCTCTCTATATATCTCTCTGTCTCCCCCCCCCCCCCTCTCCCGCGCCCCCGCCAGCCACACCCGCGCGCCAGGCCGCGCCGCTCGCCGCGGACGAAGCGCGCATGGGGAAGCGCGCAGACAGCTCGATGGGTGATCACATGATATTGCATCACGAAACGTAGTCCTCGATCTCCTGCACCGGCCAGCCGGTCAGGTCCTCCTTGCGCAGGGCCGCCACCGACCGCAGGAGGCTGTCCGCCATGCCGGCGAGGGCGGTGTCGCTGGAGCAGAGGTGGAAAGTACCACGACGGCGCGAGTGCCACGGCGTGGGTGTTTTCGTGCAGGTCTGTCAGGGAATCGGCCACGATGAGGGCGATGGCGATGGGGCAGCGACGGTGGCAACCGGGATGGCAGCTGGGAGGGGGGGGGGGGGGCACACACACACACAAACACAAATACACAAACACAGGAAGACACATACCTGACAGACTGAATCCACAGGCAGTAGTCCCGCAGCCAGACGCGCGCCAGCGGGCCGAAGCGGTCGTCCCGCTCCAGCATGTACAGCAAGGCCAGCAGGGCGCGCAGGACCGCCGGACGGCCCAGCTGCAGGAGGGTGACCACGTCACGGGCCACCGCCCGCGCGGCCAGGTCCCAGTGCCGCAGGAAGGGGAAGGCCAGCGCACGGCGGATGCACCCGAGCAGAACCTCGCGTGGCGTGGCCGCCGGGCCAAAGAGACCAGCCAAGGTGGCCGGCTCGCGAGCCCGGAAGTCCTCGTCATCCGAGTCCGAGTCCGAGTCCGAGTCATCCGAATCTGAATCCGAATCCGAGCTCGAGTCCGAGTCCGAGTCCGAGTCCGAGTCCGAGTCAGACATCGACATGTCCGAATCCACATTCATCTCGCTGGGGACCGAGTGGCCCAGGACAGGGGCCGACGCATCCTGTGCCACCATGCCGACACTCTCGCCATCGCCATCGTCGGAGTCGACATCCACAGGATCGAAGCCCGTCAGGGCCTCACCGAGGATGGCCCCGGCCGTGGGCCCGGCCTCATGGCGCAGAGGAGCCGCCGCGCACACCGACCAGCCCAGCGCGGCCGAAATCTCGCCAATGGTGTCGCCCGCCAGGACGCCACTCTCCTCGGAGTCCGACATGGAGCCCGGCCCCCGACGAGCTGGCGCGTCCGAATCGCTCCCATCACCGAGGACCTCAATGAGGAAGGGGCGCTTGCGCGAGGCGTCGGCTTCCCGGCCGGCTGGCTGCCACGCCGGGGCGCCATCCTCCTTGATGGCATCCGAGGGGGGATCCGATGCCTCGAAGGAAAGCAGAGCCCCTGAGGCTGGGGCGCCGGTCGGCGTCGGCACGGCCCCGGCCGCGCCCCAGCCCAACCGCGCGGCTACCGCCGCCTGGTGCTCGGCCACCAGGCGCCCGGGCAGATCCCCCGCCCGGCCAACCTCCGCCAGCAGGTCCTCATCGAGGTACTCCATCAATGGGGGGGGAGCTGCCCCCGGGGGGAAGGGCTCCCGGTCGGCGTGCTCCCCGGCCAGGTCCTCGGCGTCGGCGAATTCGGCGAAGGCCTCGCGCAGAATGCGCGCCAGCGGCGTGGCGGCATACGTCTCCAACCCGGCCAGCATGGGGCTCACATGCACGCATGTCCAGGCCGATTCGACCGTTGACTCGCCTTGGCACACGCGCAGGTTGTAGCTGTAGCAGAAGAGCAGGTCAATCAGGCCCAAGAGGGTCGCCCGGGGGTCGGCAACGGGGGGAGCTGTGTACATGTTTCCCATCCGTGTTTCATGCGTGTGTGTGTGTGTGTGTGTGTGCGAGCGAGCGAGAGAGGAGAGAGACAAGAGAGAAAAGAGAGAGAGAGAAGAGAGGAAGAAAGAGAGAGAGAGAAGAGAGGAAGAAAGAGAGAGAGAGAAGAGAGGAAGAAAGAGAGAGAGAGAAGAGAGGAAGAAAGAGAGAGAGAGAGAGAGAAGAGAGAAAGAAAAAGAGAGACAGAGAAGAGAGAAAGAAAAAGAGAGACAGAGAGACAGAGAGACAGAGAGAGAGAAGGGAGAGAGGGCGCGGGCGCGGGCGCGGAAGGGGACGTAGAAAGGGGCGCGGGCGCGCATTTGTGCGTGTGTATAGATGTGCCAGTGTGCAGGCGTGCAGGCATGCAAAGGGACGAGGGTGCGGGCGTGCCCGTGCGCCAAAGGCGTGCGCGGTCGCGTGGACAGGGTGAGCGAATGCCGGTCGGGCAGGAAAACACCGGGCAGCCGGGATCCAACAGCCAAGGAGCGTGCGTAAACGTACCGCCCCCACGCGGCAGCTCGCGCAGCTGCTTGGACTCGCGCGCCGAATAGCCAAATTGCGGGATGTCGACTGCCACGCCGGCGGCCACCGGCACCGACCGGACCAAGAGCTCCCCGCTGGCAGGCCCAGCCAGCATGGCATCCGAGGCCACGGGGCCCCAGAACGCCGCGGTGGCAGTGGCCACCGCGGCGGCCGTCCGCCGATTACGCTCCTCCGCCGGGAGATCGCCCCCTTCGGTGGCCATGGCAGCCCGGACCGCTCGCCGGACCCCGGCCAGGTCCTGTGCCCGGTCCTGCCAGTAGGTCCGAAAAGCCAGGCTCTCGGCCACCAGCCCCGACTCGTCGGCGAAGTCACTGGCATAATGCTCCGGGCAGAACTTCGCCGCTTCGGCCAGGCGACGAAGCGCCCGCCGGCGCCCGGCCACCCCGGGCCCCGAACTCAAGGTCAGCAGCGGGTCCCGGTCCAGCGCCCGGACCGGCAGCGGCAGACAGATCAGAACCTCCGCCGACCCGAGCCCGAAGAAGGGGTTCAGCCGGTCGGTGGAGATGGGCGTCGCGCCGGCCGGCGCCGGTGGCACCAGCGACTCAGCGAACCCCACCCCCGGCATGTCGCCCAGGGCGATGTTCTACCCGATACGTCGAGCAGGAGGGACGCCAAAGGGAGGCCAGTCAGCAACAGACACCCAGGGAAGGGGCCCAAGAAAAGGCAGGCAGACCGCCGGCCAGGCGCGGCACCGGGGGCATGTCCACCGGACAGACGCCTGGCCAGGGGGCGGGGGGGGGGGGGGGGGGCAAAGCAAACGCACACGCAGCGCCCCGAGAGCCGACCCGGCGCCCTCGGCCTGGTCCAGCTCCCAGTCAAAGTCATCCGGGAAGGCCTGGCTCCCAAGGCGAAGGCGTTCATCGAGGTTCAGCGCATCGAGCGCCGCATCGGTGTCGACCGTGTGGCTGGCCGAGGACACAACTTCGACCGCGGGCCCGGCCGAGGGAAACCCGGCCCCGGGCCCCGGGCCGGTGGCATCGGTGGTGCTGCCGCCGCCGCCGCCGCCGCCGCGGATCACCTTTTCCCCGGTGATGCCCATGCCCAGGTGGTCCATATGCTCGCGCTGCCGGCGGGTCGCCAGCAGGCGCGACTGCATGTCCAGGCCGTCAAACCACTCGCCGGGATTGGCCTTCGGCACCACGACGTCCAGCCAACCAGACCCGATGTCATAGCTGACCCGCCAGTCTTCCTCCACCTCGGACAGCAGCCCCGGCAGGTAGAGGCGCAGGAAGTACGGCCGCGCGTGCACGCGCAGCGAGTCCTCGGCCACCGCGATGTCGATGCCATTCGGATGCGAGGTCTCCGGCGCATCGTGCTCCGCCGACCGCAGGGACAGATGCGGCGTGTGCGCTCGCAGGTGCAGGTGCGTCTCCGACTGGGTGACGTCGAAGTCCGGGGTGATCATTCTTCCGTCGCGGCTGCGTGAGCGCGGGGCCGTGGGTGTGTGGGTGTGGCGGGAGAGGGGAAGACGAGAGGGGAGAGACAGAGAGGGGAGAGTGGGATACAGGCACAGAGAGCCAAAGAGAGAGAGAGAGAGAGGGGGGGGGGGGGGAAAGAGAGGTGGAAAGAGGAGGGGACTGGCGGGTCACCGCGGGCCGGGTTCACCGGGCGATCCGAAAACTGGCCCCGGCGCCGGCCCACGCGTCCACGTCCCCCCCCCCCCCCCCCCACGCGCCTGGGGCTTTGAGCGGGAGGCGACCGGCGCGCCTCATGGGGGCCATTCGTTGGCACTTGATCAGTCCCGATCTCCGGGCCATGAGATTGCCCCGCCGCGGCCCCAGGGCGGTTGGGGGAGGGGCCGACGGGGCGGCGATCGCGCTTCCCGCGGGGACGGGCAAAATTAATGTGTCTCACACCTGGGGGCCAGGCCCGCGAGTCTGCACAGCCTTCCTCCACACATACACACACACACACACACGCACGCCCTCCCCCGCCCCTCCTTCTCTTCACGCCCCTACACCGGAGTTTACTCGCCCACGCTGGCGCTCGCGTGCGCACGCCAAGTCTCACTGGCCTCCGCCTCGGCCGGCACAGCCGTACACAACGCACTAGCCCCCCCCCCCCCTCCCTCCCTCCTCCTCCTCCTCCTCCTCCTGCGCGCGCGTGCGTGCGTGCGTGCGCATACACGCACATCCACACCGCCATGACGCGCTACATGAGCGCCAAGGTCCGTGCCTGGCATGCTTCCTGTCTTGCCATTCGTCGCCTCGGCCCCCTCCATCTCTCCCTCTCGCTGACGCCCGCCCTCATGCAGTCCTACCACCCGAACAGCATGGCCAATCGCCGCCGTGTCTGGGAGGCCGAGCAACGAGCAGCCGACGATGAACGGCGCCGCCGCGATCGGGAGCGCCAGCTGCGCGACGAACGAAGCGCCGCAGCCACCGGACCGTGCGCCTTTACTCCCCCTCCTTCTCTCCCCCCGCGCCGGCACGCACAATGGCCCCAACCCCCTCACGCACCCGCCCGACATGCAACCACCCCGTGTACAGGCGCTCCTCGGTGGATTTCCTCTATTCCCGCGAGGACCGAGCTCGACAGCAGGAGGCGGTGGGATTTGTACCCGCCTCATCGGCGTCGGGGAGGGGACGCCCTCGCTCGCCGGGCCCGGCAAATCGGGCCGCGGCTGATGCCCCCGGCGGTAGGCACCACCGCCGGTCCGGCTTCGAAGCCGGCGAAGACCCCGGCCTCGACTTTGCCAATGGCGATGATGCTGATGATGATGACGACGACACCGAGGGGTCTGGCCTGGCCCGGGCACACGTCCGCCACCGGGGCCAGCGCCCCGACCGTCGTGCGCCAGGCCCCGAGGCCGCCTCGGACACCGGGGCCGTCGTCCCGCCGGACGGGCCCGGGCACTATGATGACTACACGGCGTCTCTGACACGATACATCCGCCGGCCAGCCGGGCGTACGGCCCCGGCGGCCCGGCTGCCGGCTGCGGCCGTCCAGCTCGAGCCCGAGCCCGAGCCCGAGCCCGACAAGTCGCTGACGGCTCGTGCGCCTGGCTCACGCCCATACTTCCGCCATGGGGCCCGGGATGAGGACCGCGCCCAGGCGGCCGCCGCGCGATACCTCCACCGCGAGGACCCCTTTGCGGCCGGGAGCGCTCTCGATTCGGCACCCGGCCCCGGGCTGAGCAATGTCTCGGATGATGTGCTTCTCCAGGCGGCTCTCCTGCTGGAAGCGCGCCCGGAGGACATGGTGACGACGCCCGGCGGCCCGGGGATGCCCGGGGCCACGGGGGCTGGCGCGGCACCTGGGCGCAGCCTGGGCGGGGGGCTCCGTCTGCGTCCTTCGGCCACGGCCATTGTCGCGCCGTATGCAGCACCACATGGCCGCGCGCCGGCCGCCGCCTCGGCCCCAAGTCCGGGCCCGGCCTCGGCTGCGCGGCCTACGGTGGCCCTCGGGCCGGAGTCTGGCGAGACCGAGCGCGCGGCCGCGGCCCGGGCCCTGTACCTTCGCCGGGCGGTGGAGACCGGCGATCCGCACATCCGATGGCTCGGGCAGCTGTCGCTCCAGCAGCGCCGGAACCTCTGGCGCGCTATCCAGATCCAGCGGGCAGCCGGGCGTCGGGCGCACTGACTTGTCTTCCTCCGGCATGCACACGCCCACATGCGCACCTGCATAGGTGTCTCCCTCGGTCCATCTTCTTTTTTTTTTTACCCCTCTCGCACGTGGCCATCCGAGTGGGATGGCCGCGTTCGATGGGTCGAGAAGGATGAGAGGCGGAGAGGGCGAGAAATGGGGAAAGAAAAGCCATTTATAAATTCACATATTTTTGTATTCGCGCTCGAGAGGAAGAACACCAGAGGACGGCAGAAGCCCTGGCAGGGTACGCGCGGGGCGGGAGGGGGG